GTAGAGTTAAATGATGTTATTCTTTAATGTGGTCCAACACGTAAAAACTGAAACAAGGATGCAATAACCAAGCTGAAACTTAACTATAGCTTAATCGATTCAAGGCACGATAAGTAAAATCGCTAGCCGATCCGAATGATAAACATTATAAAAGAAGAAATAAGTATATCGCGGAATCAGTGAATATCGGCGACTGAACCGATGAATTAAGAGATAAAAGAAATTAAATGACAAACAACGTTAGAGCGATTACGATGAGTAATATAAAGAGCACACTTCTATCCCGATCTTGGGGCGAAAACGTGCACAAACAAAACAGAAACGATAAATCTACAAAACTTTGGGTGCTATCGTTTGTAAGGGAGCACCGTCGAAATATGAAAGCACGAGGTCTGGTCTATGCTTACTGCGCCGGACTTGTGACGTGACTAAAAAACCAAGTAACGCAAGGGTAACGCTACACTAGACAACTGGAGAGCTCTTGTTGTTTCGCAAAAAAAAAAACATAAAGTGATGAATAAATGACTGTGAACTGAGTAAATATAAGAAAATCATATGTGTGAACTGCGAATTAATAAATTATTATGAAGGACTTTTTAGCATGTAGTCATGAATTTATATAGAAAGGTACTAAACATGAATAAATAGAGAGAGGCTCTTGCGTGCTTGGAAAACTTCCAAATAACATTTGTTGGATTTGCAAACATTAAGTTGATCTTTGCAGTCTTAGGTGAAGAGAGGTAATACGAGGTTGAAGCATTTTACTGGAAATCAGAGTAGGCCCAATGTGCAATTTTTTCCATAATTAGGACCAGAGTCTATTAACTCTGGTTGCAACTCCCACAGGTCTCAATAAAATGTTATTTGAGTTTGAATTATAATAACATAAGTCATCACACCAACTACAAAAACAATCGAGCCACTGATTTGTTAAAGCTGAAAAAAAAACCCTGAAGAGTACCAGAAAAAATATGGCTATAAACAAGCCCCATTTATTTAAATCCTGGCACAACTGTACATCTTTTCTATAAACTGTTCTGAGAACCCTTCCAGTTCTCTAGAATGAAAACATTTAGTCGCATAGATTATTCCTAATTTTTTGAGCCTACAATGTGTTCGTCTATTGGACGACTCAGCTTAAGTTTTACTTAATCTACTATTTGATAGCAGCTTTTTTTGACCTTTGGTTAATCATTTAAATCTTTCCAGTTTCTAGATGTACTTATTAGTTTAACATTTGCTACATTTGTAGAGCTGTTTCTTTTTTTTTTAGTTGCAATGCAAGTACAATCATCTGTTTCAAGTTACTAATTATATATAATAAACTAGGTACAAACTAATGTAAAAAATAACGGGATCATTTTGTAAAACGTCTTTTAGGTCATGACAATCTATTCAGGCAAGCAAGTTGTGATCGGAGAGTTATAAGACTCCATTTAGGCTTTTTTGCACCAACCCCTTTCATGTAACTTAATTTTTACATTGTATACTTTCTAACAGACCTGCGACTAGAATTAATAAAAAAATTATCAGCATACATGTATATGCATGGGATCCAGCAGAACGTTAATCATGAATAATCAAAACAAAAGAATAAAAGGGTTAAAATTGAATAATCCACCTCCACTGAAATGTTTTTAAGACTCCAAGCAAGTCATGATTGTGCTGGATTAACCAGTAATCTCAAATTTCACCAGCAGAGTATCATTCTTGGTGTACCGTGGTTGGCAAATCAGCTTGATAGGGGCAAATCTTGGGTAACCCAATCCATAGTAGTTGTGCGGTGCCACTGGTCTTTGACATGCTTGCCCTCCAGGCTCAGCCACCAGGGTTTTGCTGATATCACGATGCATCTCTTCGTCTTCAGATTGATCCAAGATGGACAATCTC